TCGGAACCCCTCTGTTCAAGCTTTGGATTCTCGGGCCTTCTCTCCAGCGAATGCATTCTTTTGCAGGATGAGCAACGCCACTTACAAGACGGCGATCGGGTCGAAGTGGGGCGTTCCTCTCGCGCTTGGGCTTTTGGCGGGGCGTGTTCTCAGGCCAATGATGCTGAACCCTCAAGCCCAAGCCCAGTAAACCCTCAACTCCGAGCCCGAACCCCCTGAAAACCCAAACCGCAACCATAGCATCTAAGCAGCTCTGATACTTCCACCCTGAAAAGCGTGGCTGTATCAGACTCGAAGTGCTTGACCTCAGCTTGAAACGCCCGTCCCGGAGCCTTCAGCCTTAAGCCCTAAATCCTGAAGTCCCCCTGCTGTATGAGTAGTTCTCTAAATTAGGGTCCCTTTGTAGGTCCCCAAAATAGTACGGCACTCTTATAAACACCTTAATTTAGAGAACTACCCATATCTTGCCATTCTAATAACACTCAGCATAGCCATGAGCATCATAGTGATAGTGGTCTAGTAAGAATACTCACGGTACCCCGTTTTTGCTGTCCACTGACCTATAGCAGAGGGGACGAGGCCAACTCGGAGGCCCCAATGATCCGACAAGTTGGACTGAATGATGAGTTTTTTCTTGAGGGCTTTAGAACTTTAGGGCTTAGGTTCCCTGATGCCCTGAATTTCGGTTTGGGTTCTGTTGCAAAACTTGGGGGTCTGGTTGTCTAAGGTGCTGCCTCAGCGCTTCGCAAGCACATTCTACACAATTTAAACCCGAGCTCAGCAACCCCGACCGTCAAGGTACTATGGGTGCCTGTGTGTTCTGTACTAGTTTTCCGTTGGGTTGCCCATCAAAGTTATAGTCTGTTATAGTAGCCCTGGAAGCCACACCCAAAAGCTTCAAGGCTCAGAAGCCCCAGACGACCTGAAACCGACAGCTACGAAGCCCCGGCCAGGAAAAGGGGAGGAAAGAGCAGCGAATCGCAGGTCCGGCAGAGTCGGGTGTGGGATTCACCGGCATCTTGTTTATGTCTTCGAGGCAAACAGAAGTCGCGTGAAAGATGAACGTAAGGGTTTGAACAGGAGGACATTCACTAAGGAATTCAGGTGCTGCTTGTTTTTCCGATGGTGAATGAAGTTGTGAAGACAGCGTTGCTACACGTGCGGCCGCATGATTCCGAACACCCCAAACCCCAGGCCCTGAAACCTAGGCAACAGAAACCGCAAGAGTTAGAGAACCTTGAATTGCCACCCTTCAAAACTGGACGGGAGGATGCGCACTGCTGTTCCTTGGCTGAGTTGCTCGGTGCGGGCTTCCGGCTTTAGAGCTTAGGGGTTTTTGGGTTTCGGGTTTCTGTTTTCGGAATGGTTCGGCTGTGGATGGGTGGGCGGATACATGCAGAGAGCTGCGGTGTGAAAGAAAACCTTGTGTTCGGGTTAGGGGCTCGTCGGTCGTGTTGAAGACAGAGCTACGCTTGGCCCACAGTGGCGGGTTCTCGTCACTTATCGCCCTGGTCTGGACATCGTAAGATGGCATCATGTTACATTACATTGCGAGGGATTGCAGTAGGAATCTTCCTAAAGTGTTGCACCTTTTGTTTTGGGGGTTTGCTGTTGTGTGCACCACAAGCCTGCTGCAGAGGCTTTGGGCATGATGCCAGACATCATGAAGGGTTCAGGGCCTGACTTTCTGCATAGTTCGGTAGTGTTTCAGGGGTCAAGATCTCGTGACTGCCACTCGGACAAGGTTGAGGAGATGCACGATCCAGGGCAGAACCGTATCTAACTCGCTTCAAGACGACGCAAAAAAGGACAAACCCCAACACAAGGCACTGAAAGCCCCAACCGCCCGAAACCGAACTCTCCTGTGTGTCCCAGGTCTCCGTGTCCAGTTCCCTAAGAAGCAGACAGTAGAGGCCCAATCCTTGGGTTTTACACGGATATTTAACTTGGGTGGTTCTCTGAATCAGGGTCTCTTCTGGGGTTCTTACCCACGGTTGGGCTGATATTCCGAAGGGGAAAGGTTTGGTGTTGGCCGGTGTTGTTGTTTACAAAAGGCTTCCAAGAGATACCCAGCTTATTCGACTTTGACTGAGGAGTTCGGAATCTGCAAGTCTAGGATGTTCCTGATGTTCATGTTTTTCACTTGACCGGTTCTCTGTCTATGCGGCTTGAACGCAGTTTGAATTTTGAGATTCGTAGGACCACGTGTTCTGGGCATCAGGCCTCCTAGCTCGGAGTGCTTCGCGGTTCTGATTCATCCTCATGAGTTGAGCATCGTAAGTTTGCTCATCAGCAGACGCGAGTGGGACAGACCTCACGAGCCATTGACGTCCATTAGCCTTGCCTTGGCAAACTGGAGTTAAACAAGACAGCAATGAAGAACAGCTGGTTTATAAGCCCTGTGAGAACCTCCAGAAATTTCCAAAAGCATCCCATCGGATCCTACAAACATGTGGAACACGGAGCCCCAGAACGTGGAGCCGGCGCCCATCCTTGAGCCAGCCCACACGACAAGGCCATGGTCAAGGGGTGCCAGGGCCAGCGGAGGGTTGGGGCTTTAGGGTGTTGGGGGACTTTGTTTAGTTATTCTTGGTGTTCTGGATTTTGGGGCTTAGGAGTTTCAGAACTGTACTTTCAGGAGTTTAGGGTTTAGGGGTTTAGGAGCTGTATTTTCGCGACAAATCGTGACAAGAGAGACAGAGAGTCAGTGTTCCAGGTGCCATCTGTCCTTCTGCCCTCCAACTCACGAGATTGTCCTGAGACGGAGGATGTGCCGGACGATCCACAAGGATAATCGGCCTGACCACAATCAGTAACAAAGAGCAGTCATGGTAGCATTGAGGAAATCGAAGGACGCCATGTTCTCCATCGAATGTGGCGATTGTGTACAAACAGCCGCGGCGTTGCTGTTGCCTGTTGGTTGTGTTGACGTTCGCGCTGGAGCATTCCATTCTTGAGTTTCTTAAGGTCAACAGTCCTGTGCAGTGGCTTGGCCTGCTTTCTCGCCTTGTTTCCGGGATGCCCACATTGCAGAACAGGCCAAATAAAGACAGCTTCAACAACATGCCTACTTATCGGGCATATACTCGTGTATCTCCGGATGTTGCGAGTTTTGCATGGCGATTGTGGCAACAAACTGGAAGCCCATATATTGTGGACAACAGCGCATGTGTGCGTGTGTGTTTCCTATTCTTGTATGGAGTATAGACTCGGCGGCTTGAAAGTGCCCACGTACGCAGGTGCATACATAATGCATGCGAAGGCTTCCAGAGTCCTGGTGTAGGAACCTGATTAAGAACCCGGTTTTTTCAGAGTGTAAATTTGTGTCTTACTGAATTCAGATCCGGGTGCTTCTTCCTTGGTTCCTTCCCAAACCCTTCCGCCCGAAAGTTCATGGATCCCTAAGCCTAATTGACAAGGCCGAGAGGTCCGCTGGATGACTACATTGCAAGCCCGCCCCAGGGCCCGGCGTTTGTGCACTTGTGTTGCTCCCTGGTCTGGCCTCTTTCAGCCCGTACTCCCCAGAGAAACGGAGATCACAGGGGCTGAAGGGCCTCGAAGTTCAGGGCTGTTCCGAGGTGTGACCTCGGGTTTCAGCAAGACGTCGGTGTATCCGGGTTCTTGATACTCTGGATGAGAAATTGTAGGAGCAGCGTTCCGGCCTAGGTCAGACCTCAAAGCGTACTTGGAAATCCCAAGGCTTCAAGAGGCGGCAGAAGCTCGGGCAGGGCTCCCTTCTACAGTACCCTGGTCGTACCGACTCAGCTGAGGGTAGAAGTTTTTGGTGGCTTCAGAAAACCCTACACCATGCTTGTGCAAGAAAGCCTTCGTCGTCGTGCCGCTGATCTGTGCATTTGGGCTCCAATTCGTAGAGCCTTGGTGCAGACGTGGCTAGTTCCGATCAAAGGCCAGGAGGGTTGTGGGGGGGGGGGGGCAGTGTGCATGTCCTTCACTGGAAATCACTGCCCCGCATGCCTCCAACCTGCTGCAGCCTCGCTTCAGGCAGAAGAAGGAATCATGGGAAGCACGTCTCAGGAGCCGATGTTTCCGGTCTTCTGGCTTTGGTGGCTCTTCAGGTCTCTTTTAAGGTTTGAGGACCGGGAGGCGCGAGATTGACGATTTTGTGTCTTTTAAGCTTCAGGGTTGGAGGTTGCAACGAGAAGGGATGAAGGTACAGGCTGTCGGATCCAGCTGCCAGGAGCAGCTGCAAGGCTGAAGGCCCCGCCCATACTGAAGAGCCTGGTGAATATTAGCTAGAGTATACTGGGCCCAAAGCCCTATTCTAATTATTACGGCCCCTTTGTTACATCAGTGTTTCTCCCTGTCCCTTCGAGCCCTCCCTACGGGACTTGCTGCTCTTTGCGTGTCTTCTGCTGGTGCTGCTCGCGTGCTTGTTGGGAAGCACCCAAGAAGCTTCCCAACGGAGTCCTAGTTCGCAGTCTTCACCCAGCAGTTGAGCGGGGTGTGCGTTCTCAGAGCATATTGCGCGATTTTCTGCGTCATACTGAATTGCTCTAGTCTACACTGTACTGTTCTAGTCCAGGTTTTGCTATAGTATGCTATACTATGTATACTCTTACTAGACAGCATACACTACACATTTTATACTTATACTGTATACTATATACTATTGTATACTTTATACTAGAAACTATACTGTCTATTATATTATGTTGGATTCCAGCCACGGGACCCTCACGAGGAGCTGATCCAACAGCTGCTCCAGGTTGGCTTCTTGGGGGTTGGTTTCTTCTGGGCACTCGCCGGAGCTTTGGGGCTTA